AAGAAAAAAAAAAAAAAAAAAAAAAAAAAAAACCACAAAAAAAAAAAAAAAAAAAAAAAAAAAAACCCCGAGGGGGGGGAAGAAGATATAACAACTACAACTCCTTGAAGTTGATATGACAAGCAAACAGAAAGGACATTGTTGGGTGGGAGGGAGGAGAGGGAAGAGGGTGGGAGGTTTCAGTAATAGACCACAATAATCAACCACATTGTATATCGACAAAATAAAAATTAAAAAAAAAAATTTTTTTTAAAAGTGGTATGTACTTGCAATGGAATACTATCCAGCCTTAAAAAAGAAGGAAACCTTGCCATATGCAATAAAATGGATAAATGTGGAGGATATTACACTAAGTAAAGTAAGCAAGTCACAGAAGGACAATAATGCATGAGTCCACTTACATGAGGTGTCTAAAACATCAGACTCATAGCAACAAAGAGTAGAATGAATGGTGGTTGCCAGCGGCTGGCAGGAAAGGGAAATGGGGAGTCACTATTCAATGGGTATAAACTTTCAGTTATACAAGATGAGCAGCTTGTAGAGATGTGTTGTACAACACCATGTCTATAGTTAATAAAGGCACAATACTGTATTGTGCATTTAAAAATTTGTTAAGAAGGTAGCTCTTACGTTACATGTTCTTACCACAATAAAAAACATGTCATACTTTTTGAGATGAGAGCTCTTCAGGTCATTTTTTCTGTTTGTATTAAATATCAAGAAATTCACATCTAAGTCTACAAGCCACTATAGGAAATGAGCAAACTTCAGGTTGCTCGTGGCTATTCCTGTACCTTTTTTTTTTTTTTTCCTTTTTGTCTTTTTTCGTGACCGGCAACGGGATCGCAACCCTCGGTGTTGCACCCACACCTCACTCAGCCAGTGAGCGGCCGCCGGTCTGTACGTGGAATCCGAACCCTCGGCGGGAGCGCCGCCGCACTCCCAAGCGGCGCACTGTAGCAGTGCGCCACCGGGCCGGCCCCTATTCCTGTACCTTTTATGTGAGCTTTTTCAATTTTTATTTTTGTTTTGTCATATATTGTTTTGCAAGCCACATCAAATCCTTCTGAAAGTAAACTATAGCTGAATACATATTAAATAATTTAAAGGGCCTACCCTTTGCCAGAATAATTCCACTTCTTTAAATTTAGAAATTTAAAGAAATATATAAAAATAGACGTACAAGTTTCTTCTATGCACTGCTACTCATCAAAAAAAAACTTAGAGATGCCTCCGGAGTCCTGAGGTGGCAAGGCCCATACTCCCCCCATCCCCCGCATGGGCCTACTAATCAACCAGGCTGGTGACTGAGCCAGACCTGGGGTAGCCCTGCCTCCCCTTCCCCCTCCCCGCCAACATCTTAGAATATACTCATTATAAAAAAAATTTAAAAAATAAAGTGACTTTTAAGTGAAAAATGTTTCTGAGTAACATATATAGTATAAAAGCATTTAGACAAATTGTCCATATACTTATACATGGATATGTAAAGAACTGTATGTTTATGTGTGTGTATATATATAACTATTTATTGTCACACACATGCACCAATTTCTGAAAAATTAATAGTTTATCTCAATATATTGTAAAATTAATAAAAGTATAAATTTTCTATAACTTTTTGTTTTTTTTCATCATAAAGTGGTCAAACATGTATCACCTTCAATAATTGGAAAAAATAAAATAATAAAGCCATTTTTATTTTGTAGGGAAAAAGAGTAATAGATTATAACTCCTTAATAACTGAACATTTTCTTTGAGAAAAGGGAATACAAATCCTTTCATTTGTACAATTAAATAACAATATGCTATGCTCTTTGATATAGAATTCCTATTTATTTATTCTAAATTGCTAAAGCAAAAACAAATCAAGACCAGCAACCCGGACTTCAAATACAAGGAAATAAGACATAACCTTAAAATTTATTGAATTATCATGAAGTAAGTTTTAGAGTATTTAACTTTAATAAACTTTCAAGGCACAAGTGAAGTAGGGAGAGGCCAAGGACATCTAATGCAGTTCTGCAGGTCCTTTCTTTCCCTACGACAGGCCTTGCCCAAATTAATACACGGGGTTCTAAACAATGTATGTGATTACAACACTGACACAGAAAGAACTGTTCTGGTCATGAAACACCCCCACCCCATTTTATGCTCAGATAGTTAAATGGTTTACATCACCTTTTTCCATGCCTTAGAAATCCACAGATGCCTGGTTTGTTTACAAGAAATAATCCTAAACAATAAGGTACATCCTGTAAGAATCACTCCATAAATGAGGAGTTTCCCTCTAGGAAGGAAGTCTTTCATTAGCATATTTAAAAGAATACTGAACTTGATCACCTTCTTTCTTCCCCAGGGTGTGCCCCATATGTCCCTGAGTGTAATGATTTAGCGGTGGGAGAACAGCAAGGCACAGCACAGTGTACAAAACAGTAACCCATGAGTGTTGGCTGGGAGCAGGGCTGATGTATGTTTCTACATGCATAGAAATCTCTAGAAGGGTGTACACTAAACTGTTACCTGTGGTTACCTCTGGGGAATAGGATGGCATCTGAGAAAACACTTTTATTTTTTACTTAATACTTCTGTATTGATTGAAATTCAGGGCAAAGAAAACTGATCATTTATAGAATAAAATCATAAAAATTTTAAGACAAGCCATACCCGCCAGCTGCCAAAAAACAAAAAAAATTTAAAGACAAAGCTAAACAAAAATTTGCCATCCATTTGGCAAAAGCCATAGAATTGTACAACAAAAGAGGAAACCCTAATGTAAAATTGGTTTAATAATAACAGATCAATATTGGCTCATAACTGTACTAAATGTACCACACTAATGTCACATGTTAATAAGAGGATAAGGAGCTGGGGGAAGAGGTCTGGGAACTGTCCGTACTTACTGCTCAGTTTCTCTGCAAACCTGACTGCTCTAAAAACAAAGTTTATTAGAGAAAAAAATTTGGTGTCTAATTTCATTTTCCAAACTCAAGTTTTTAAAGGAGAGACGTCAGTCAGTAACTAGTTATTTTTAATTCATTAATTTCTTCTAAACATTTCCAAAATCATTTCACACACACAAAAACAATTTCTTCCTTTTTTAGAGACTTTTTTTTTTTTGGTGGCTGGCCTGTATAGGGATCTAAACCCTTGATTTTGGTGTTGTAACACTGTGCTCTAACCAACTGAGCTAACTGGCCAGCCCTCTTCTTTTTAAAAATCTTTCACTAAAAGAGTTATTCTCAAACTACAACATGCATAAAACTCACCTAGGCGTGATTTTTTAAAATACTGATTCCTGGAACCCACCCTCTGGGACTGAGTAGGTGTGAGTGCCAGGAATCTGCATTTTAGGCATTCCAGAGAATTCTGATACAAGTGTTCTATGGGACATACTAGAAAAAACACACTGCCCTAAACTCTTAAAAAAGCTCAAATCTCACAAGCTTGACAATTTCTTCTATTATCCTCAATATTACTTTACACAATTATCTTCTAGTTTCCTCTTTATCTAAACTTATTGGAAAAAAAACCATTTGCACTCAGTACCTCCAATCCCAAACACCCAGTTACTACCTAATTCCTCAGAATCTGGTTTACATCTCACCACTGTTCAAACTGACCTCTGAAGATCTCCTAGAAATATGAAGTTGATAAATCCAAGGGCATATATATGTATATGTACGTGGAGCCATAAACAAGACAGACATGATAAACAAGAAACCAATACATAACAGCAAGGTGGTCAATAGAGCACTGATGAAACTATGACAGAGATGTGGAAGAACGGGCTACTTTAAACTGCGTGACACGGAAGGTCTCACCAAGGATATAACATTTAAGAGGAGCACTGAATAATAAGAAAAACAGATACAACATTACAGGGAGAGGATTTTGGCCAAAGAGAACAGTTAAGAGTGCAAAGATCCTAAGGTAGGAACACATTTGGATATCTGATGAATACACACAACAAGATGTCTAGAGCAAGGTACCCAAGGAAATGTGGCAGGAGATGAGATGAGGAGGCAAGCAGTGCCCAGATCTTAGAAGTCAGGGATACAAATCTGGATTGACTCTAGGTATAAAGGGAAGCAATCAGGGGGGTTCACACAGGGCATCTACGACCCTTTGAGATCATTCTGGTTGCACTGTGGAGAGTGGATTGTGGCAGAGCAGGAGGACCAGTTAGGAACCTCCTGAGGTATGGAGGTGAGCCAATGGTGGGTGAGGAAGAAAGCACAGATGTCCATCTTTTTTGAAACTCCTTTCTGTGGTTTCCACAGTCTTCAGCTCTCTTGGTTCTCTGAATACTAGTACTAAATTAATATTTGTAAATCTCCCAATAATTATAAGGAGTTCTTTATCACATTATTTTAAATTTTCATATCAATCCTGTAATTTTTATTTAATCCATTATGTATTTGGAGGGTTGTTTTGTTTATATAGCCGTTAACGTTATTTTACCTAATTCACCTTTTAATCTGTAATTCATGGCCCTCAATTCTAGGAATTTTTTTTTTTTTTTTGGTGGCTGGCCGGTAAGGAGATCCAAACCTGTGTAGTATGCAAGCAAATGTACTTCACAGGGCCTGGTTTTCCAAAGCCTTGCAGTTTCAAATATTGACCTTGCAAAGGACAGGAAATTTCCCCCAGGCTATAGTCTCTGTTATAATATAAAGAATTGTAACACAGCCAAGTTGCTGGCTCAAAGACAGGTTACTGATTGATATGTAAAGATACTGGGAAATTGCTGTAAGAAGGGAATGTTCGCTAAAATCAAGCTTTTGTTAGTGGATTGACTTAATTGCATTATATAATGTCACCTTGCTTGTCTTACTGAACGTTACCAGCTTCTACTGTTAAACTTGTTAAACTATACTTAGCAAAAACCCCACCTATGTTCTCTTCCTGTAACTTCCTGGTCTGGAGAATAAATGTGGGAAGAGAACCCCAATTCGTGGTTAATTTCCCAATTGGAAGGAATGCCTCTCTCTTGAGGGTTCTGGGAGATTAACCCCTTTTTGGGGCTTCTCACTGCTCAGAAGAGATGGGCTTTCAGTAATCTTTGGTGGCTCCATCACCCAGGGGAAAAGGGGTGACAAATCTGTGGGAAGCAAAGCAACACAAACCCCCGATGTTGGTATTATAACACTGAGCTCTAACCAACTAACCTAACCGGCCAGCCCTCCTGTGATTTTTACACAGTATTATCATTCAGATTTTGTACATGAAGAATTCATACTAAAAAAATATGAATGCCAAAGGATGCACAACTAATATGTGACAGAATAAGAACCTGAAGTCCTTTGCCTGACATCAAACCCTTTCTCTTCCTACTCTATCATGCTGCTGGTCTTCTACTCTTCTGCTTTCCTCTTCCCCGCTATATCCTTACCAAACATAGCTACTCTCCAAGGGTCTTTCCTCTTTGCTTCAGTCTCTGCCTTCACCATGTTCCCTGTGAGCTGCTGTTGGGGAAACCTCTCAAACCTCCCTTCCAGCCACAGAAGGTTCACTCCACTTCTCCCAAATCCATGTTTCCAAATGCTTCCAACAGCCTTCCACACAATGTTTTCTTCATAGCTAAAACTCAATATTCCCAAAATTAAACTCCTTTTTCCCAGATGTCCTCCTCCCTTGGGTTCCATTTATATACCGGTATCGTCATCCTCAAAACTTCAATTTCATATTTGACTCTATTTTTCTCCTGCAATACCAACATTATGTTAGTTGTCAAGTCCCAATGGCTCCAATGTTTTAGAATCTCACAATCAGTTGCTACGTCCAATCTTAGACCATCATTATCTCATCCAAATGAAGGAAATCACATGTAGCTGATCTCCTTCTTGTAGTTCCAATACCTTATACATAGTAGCAAATTATTATTATTTATTTTATTTTTTTAAAGATAACCGGTAAGGGGATCTTAACCCTTGACTTGGTGTTGTCAGCACCACGCTCACCCAGTGAGCAAACCGGCCATCCCTATATGGGATCCGAACCTGCAGACTTGGTGTTATCAGCACCACACTCTCCCGAGTGAGCCACAGGCCGGCCCCATAGTAGCAAATTAAAATTTCTTAAAACATTTACAAATTTAAAATAGCATTTGAAACTCTACAATCCAGCTCAAATCTACTTTAAATTTCCTCAATTACTTCTTCACTCCAGGGAAATGAACTACTGTCAATTTCCCAGCTATATCCAATTCTTTCTAGCATTTAAGATTTTATTCACACTTTTTTCTTTCTCTGGAATGGCCTTCCTCCCTCCAAATTCACTTGCCTAATCCCACCATTGTTTTTTAAAGGTCTAATGAAACGCCCTTTCCTTTAGTAAGCCTTTCCATATCTTCTTCAACCTTCCCCACTTACATACTCTAAAGTGTCAAAATCTTTATAGGCAGGCTGTAGACTAATTGACCATATTTGCACCCTCAAAAGTGCACAAACCAATGCCTTGTTCACTGAGAAGGTGGTTAATAAATACTTGCTGAATCAATGATTGAATGAGTTCATAAAAAATTGTGAAGATCTATAATCAAAACATTTTGTAAGGGGGAAAAGCTAAATAATAAAAGTAACAGTTAAAGCAATAATAAAAATTCAAAGAAAAATTTTAAGTCACTGCTCTTCCTTATTAAAAGCCATCACTTTGAAATTTTTAATGGTATCTAGAAAGAAATTCATTTCTACTTACCTGCTGCTGAAACCTAACCATATTCATCAACTGCTGAGCTCCAGGTGATAACTTTGAGCCCATGGACTCCATCATAGTTTGGACCTTGTCAAGGTCTATCCTTGATCTTACAGCAGGAGAGCTTGGTGAAGAATTTGCTGAAATCAGTCTCATGTGTACCACAACTTTACTGATGAACACACACTGCTTTTCGCCAAAGGAGAGTAACTAGTATTAAACAAAAAGTTCCAGAAAATAATAATGATATTAAAAACAATCATCATTTAAGATCACTTCTTGATATTACCTAAGCAAGAGTGAAATATTCAAGAATCTAAAAATTAATTTCAAATATGTTATTTTCTCCAGAACTGTCACACTAAGAAAAAATTCCAATTTATCATGACATTTAGATGAACTATCTAAATAACAACATCCTTTGAAACTAAGAAACTATGTGTTAAATAACAAATGGAGGGTTAAGTAAAGTTTTACTTAGTTTGAAGAATTAAAAATACAGTAGCCCCCCCTTTATGTGTGGTGGATTTTTTCAAAGACCCCCAGTAAACACCTAAAACCACAGATAGTACTGAATCCTATATATACAGTACTATGTTTCTTCCTATACATGCATACCTATGATAAACTTTAATTTACAAATTAGGCAGAGTAAGAGATTAACAACAAAAACTAATAAAATAGAACAATTATAACAAAATACTGTAATAGAAGTTATATAAATGTGGTCTTTCTCTCTCTCAAAAATCTTATTGTACTGTATTCACCCTTCTTGTGATGATGTGAGATGATAAAATGCTTAATGATGAGATGAAGTGATTTAGGCACTGTAACATTAGGCTACTATTGGCCTTCTGAAGATACCAATGGCTACTAAGTGACTAACGGGCAGTAGCATACACAGCATGGATAATCTAGACAAAGGAATAGTTCATGTTCTGGGCAGGAAAGCATGAGATTTCATCATGGTGCTCAGGATGTCAAGCAACTTAAAACTTATGAATTGTCTACTTCTGGATTTTCCATTTAACATTTTTGGACCACGGATGACAGCAGGTAAATGAAACCTCAGAAAGCAAAACCATGGATGACAGGGACTACTGTATACCAATCTGAGACCTTAATGTACCACAACTTGCTATAGTATTATTTAATATAAAATAAAGCTGCAAAAGTATTTACTGAAACCCATGCAAAGTATTTACTGAAATACTAAATACAATTTGGTCTTTTAGAATTTATAACTATAAGGGAATAGTAAGATGATCTAATACAGCTTACTGGTTTACACATAAAAAAGATGAATTTAGGAGTGATTTTCTAACTTGTCAAAGGATACTCAATTAATAAAGATCAGGCTTGGAACCTAGCTCTTCTGCTTTCTATCACAGTAGTTTTTCCAACATTTTAATGCTGTCCATGTTTTTGAACCAGAAGACATTTCATGTGTGGTACAGAGTAGCAATGGAAAGGGAAAGTCCGTCCCACAGGAAGTGTTTGCAGCACGGGCAGTAGGGGAGATGGGCCCACTGGGGGCACTCTGCGGCACAGCAAAGACAGCTGATCTGCCTCCTAATCAGCATAGGACCACTCAGAGGAGAATGGTCAGGAATACAGAACTGAAGGGGGTGCAGTTTGATGAAAAGACTCTGGCCCAGACCAGTGTTTCTACACAACCCAGGTGCAGTGAATTTCACTAAACCTGGAAGTACCTATAAAGTCAACCATTAAAATCTGAGCTGCACAAAAAGCCTTCCCCAGGGAATCAGCAGCAAAGCAGCAATTTAACTCAACCACAGAACTCAAGCACTGGTCCCCACAGGAAGGTCCCCCATTTTAGAAGGAAGCAAAGGACAACAAATTAGTTTCAGCACAGAGTATAAGTGGTGGGAACAGCAAATAATCCAACACAGAACTGAAACTAAAAACAGAGTACCCATTGGGGCCCACCTGGGGTCCTGAGGCATGGAGTGGAGACTGGACACTCCACCCTCAACCAGGCACACTGCTTGTGCCATGGGGCCACCCAGGGTCCTGAGGTCTGAAGCCAGAGACCAGACCATCCACCCACAACCAGGCACACTGTCAGTACCACGGAGCCCACCCAGGGTCCTGAGGCATGGATCTGAGAGCCACCAGCAACTAGGTAAGGAGCATACCAAAAACATCACCCCCATGTGGGTGGCCCACCACAGCCACCACAATAACCACGGCTGCCATGAAAGTGGTTAGATGCTACAACCACTGTGCAGATGGTCAGCGAGCCACTGGAATGCACTGACACAAGGAGAATCACCAGCTGAGACCGAAGGAAGGAAGAGGATGTCTCTTTCCACAAAGCCTATTCCAGAGAGACAGAAGAAGCATCTGCTCTACAATAATATTGGGGGACCTGAACACACCTCTCAGCATTGGACAGATCATCTAGGCAACAAATCAACAGAGTAATCATTACTCTTTCAGAAGGAGAGAAGAAATCTAGGGTTATCAGAGGTGAGAGCGGGGAGAGAGATGGGGATAGGGAGAGAGTGGACAAGGGGCATAAAGCATAAGTATGATTTGTAACAATATATATGCAAGTAATATTGATTTGATCAACATATGTCAGCATTGAGCCCCCAAAATACGTATAATCAATTATGATTCAATAAAAATTAAAAGAAAAGAACCAGACAAAACTGGGTTTAAATTATGACTGCTACTTACAACCTGTGTGACCCTGGGCAAATGCTAAACCTGAGTAAGGAATAAAATGAGAGAGGATAATAAGAATGATTTCACATGGCTGTTGTGAGGATTATGGTTTAATATTTCCAGGATCTACTACTAAGTAAGTATTCAAAAATCTGTATCAGTGACAATTTTTAAATTTTATCTTTCATATACTATTGCCCCAGAAGACCTAATAATACCAAGGTCACAGGTTCTGATCCCTATACCAGCCAGCACCAATAATAAATAAATAAATAAAATAAACTATTGCACCAGAATAAGCTTTCATACATATCTGAGGTTTCTCTAAATCAAACAACACATTGGACTCCCATGTGCTTCCACAGAACAATTACAACATTCGCCTTCAGAGACACTCACAAACCCATATGTCACACAAAGACATAGTTAAGTACAGACCTATGATCTAAAGACACTGAGTATGGCACCAAAGATGTGACCACCCTCAAAATTAAGGTAACACCCCATTAAATTTATACCCCACCTTCCAACTCCTCTATTATCTCCTGCTTTTAATCCCCATAGCCTTTCTCATCATCGAAAATAGTGCTTATTTTACTCAATGAGTCTACTTATTATTTGTCTTGCCCATTACAATACAATACAAGCAACATGAGGACAGGCTTTCAATTTGTTTCATTACTGCTACTTCCTAAATATCTGGAACAGTATCTGGCACCGACAGGCACTCAAATATTTGTTGAATGAATGAATCTTTTTTTTTTTTTGGTGGCTAGCCCTACTGGGATCTGAATCCTTGACCTTGGTGTTCTAACACTGTGCTCTAACCAACTGAGCTAACCAGCCAGCCCAATAACTTTATTTAAATGGCTTTAGAAACTATTAGTATTTATTACCTAAAACAACATCTTGGAATAATCAGTTCTGTGAGTTTCCCTGCTATGAAAATCATTTGTTTTTTCTCATTCTAAAGATGTCTCATAATCTTCTATAAGTAATGATAACAAACACAGAATTTTACAGACAAAAAGAGTCCAAGAACTTATTTTCTCCAGCCCCCTAATTTTACCCATGAAGTAGATCCAAATGGGGTAAGAAACTTGCCCAAGACTAGTCCACTAGTCAGCTGCAGAACTGAATTATATTCAGTGCTTAGGATTTTCAACTCAGTACCCTATCTCCACATTCTGATGACATCACTATTGCTCACCTTAACAATATTTTCATGCTGAAGACCACATTCCATCCATTTATCTTTTTGGTCCCCTTGTCTGAAACTTCTCTAATTCCATTCTTTCTCAAGAAATGGAGCGAAATCTGCCTGTGGTTTTTTTTGGCACCACAGTTTTATTCATATTTTTACACAGTTTTATATAAAGATAAAAAACATGGTTTCTAGCTCAGTTTCCCAAGGCTTCAAAATACAGCAATACTGTACTGACACTACATTTTCCATAGCTAATAATGATCAAATTTTAAAGAAAGAATTCAATGTGAAAAAGGATTAATAAGCTTTTAGAAAAGTAATGTGTTTTTACATGTCCACTAAGTATTTCTGAACTAAAACTAGGGACCAGTCGGACTAATTTTATTACCAAATCAATAGAAAACAAATACATATAGTACGAAAACAACTTTGTTGTCAAATTACTTAAAATTTAGTGATGACTTACTTTTATTTTACATACGTTTGTGGCAGGCTCCAATTTTAGATAATTTTTGTACAAAATAATCTTTTCATGATCACTAAAAATAAAAATAATAATTTTTTTTTACCTTCATACATTATCACTTTTAATAGTCACATTTAAAAATAGACGTTTCTAGGACAATACTTAAATCCTGAGATTCAGGTTTCCTGGTGAAGCATAAAGTTGGCACTCCTTAATGAATAGCACCACCTATAAGGACTACATCTACCACTTACTAGCTATATGAGAAATAAATTAGATAATATGTACAAAATCATGTAGCACAGAGCATATTTTAAAGCTCAATAAGCAGTCTTTGGCCATACCAGCATGAACATGACTGATCTTGTCTGCTCTCGGAAAGCCCAATACCATAGCTGTTACTTCCAACATGCACTGGATATACAGTAGTTCATATTTTGGGTTACATTAAAGAAAGATAGTGGAAGAATATTTGTAAAAAAAGAAAAAAAATATCAAAAATTATAAGTGGATAACAGGTTAATAAATAGGATGATGTGGCACAGTCCTAGACTCCTATAGCATTTGTAATGGTCTTCCTAGAAGAAAATGAAACGTGTTCAAAGTTTCAGATTAACAGACAAAATGATTTTTGGAATACAGACCCCTGTGAGTTAAAGGAGGGATATAAGAAACATTTATCAGAATGTCATTCTAATAAAACTCTTCCAATAACTAGTTATGACCTTCTACCAACTCACCTCCACTCTGTTAGCTTTAAATTGTCACATTTATAAAAAAAAAAAAAAAAAAAAAAACTAGGCTGATCTAGACTGTCTTTAAGATTCCTAAAGGTCGGGCTGACCCCGTGGCTCACTCGAGAGAGAGTGTGGCGCTGGGAGCGCAGCGGCTCTCCCACCACAGGTTCGGATCCCGATCCTCTATAGGGATGGCCGGTGCGCTCACTGGCTGAGCGCGGTGCAGGCGACACCAAGCCAAGGGTTGCGATCCCCTTACCGGTCACACACAAAAAAAAGATTCCTAAAGGTCTAACCTTATATGCCTATTGGTACGTTTTTATCTTCTCTCCCTTAAATGTCTGGCATCAATATCAGAGAATTATTAAATACTGCAAAAGCTGAGGAAAGTAAAAACACTAATTCCGAAGAACACTTTCACGTGTGCAAGTCACAAACCTGTTATCCAGGACAGTACAAACATTCTTGCCCCTGCTGGTTCCACAGTACTCCTCTCCTAGATATACCTCCATATTTCTTGCTGAACTTAAAATGCCAATAGAAACGATTTCTTCACCTCCTTTAGGGTCACACCTCAGGTAAAGGAAGCAGGGGTTTTCATCTTGGCTGCTCAGGCTTCTCTTCAAAATCACCAGATCCTGGCTGAGAACAAAAGTGTTGAAAACATTACACAGTATAGTTCTCCCAACACGGCTCATAACCCACGCTTTAGGCCACGGGTATTTCTTCTCACTTCCACTTGCCCTTGAGGTTCAAGCACCTTCCCGAGAACCCAACAAATGCTCAATCCAGAATTGGTGAGGAAATGGAGGCTTCAGACGTCAGAGCACTCCCTCTATTTTTCCCTCAATCACCGACATCCTGCTCAGTCCCTCTAATTGATTCTCAGTGAATGAAGTAGATTCACTGCACACCTACTGTGCACACAGGAGCGGGGAGCAGAACACAGCAAAAGAGAAAAGCGCATCTTTTTCGAAACTAAGTGGACGACGGTCCTCTACGGTGGCACTTCTGAAAAGCCTGCTTTGGTCGACAGGAGGGTGACTTCTTTGTTTTGGGGGTAGACGAGCGGGTTGATGTTTCACAGGAGACCCGAAGAGCCGTCCTGACTGACTCGGGGGGATGTTTATGAAATTCCGAGGCTCCAGGTCACCGCCCCCCGCTCGGCTGCGTCCCCCACTCGAGCGCCCCGAGCCGCGGCCACTCCCCGCCGGACCCGCCCCGGCCCTCGCCAGGCCGGTCTTCGCCCCACCTCGCAGTCCCCGCTCCCCCGCAAACAGCCGGCACCAACTCGGCTCCCGGTTCCCGGCCCCAGACCTTCTCCCCTCGCGGCCCCCGCCTCCCCTCACGACTCCCCAGCAGCGTGGCTGTCACCGAGCGCAGCGACCCTCTCCTCGCCGGCCCCGCGCACCCCGGAGCAGGCGGCGCCAGCAGCTCCTCCCAGTCGAAGTCCGGGGCGCCAAGACCAGCCCGGCTGAGAAGGAGGCTCTGGGTCAGGGCCCCGCATGCGGCCTCCCAGGAAGAGGCCAGCGTCGGGCGGCGAGTCAGTCCCCAGTCCTCGGTCCGGGTCTCCATTCTGCAGCCTCCCGACGGGCAAGCTCCGGAACCTCTCTGCCAGCGCTTGAGTTTCCGTCAGGGCGGTCTGAAGTGAGAAAGCAGCGCGACGTGAGCGACTTCCGGCTGGTCCTAGTTCAAACCCAGGGAAGCTGAGGCTTCTCGCTCTTGTGGGGGGAGAGAACCACCGCCGCAGACACGCATGCGCACGCCAACTGGCTTCAGGAGCGGCGTTCAAAATGTGCGGGGAAAGCGCTCAAGGGCGGAGCAAGCGCACTGACAGCGCCTCGCCTGCCTCTGGAGACGGTGCGCAGGCGCGGCCGCTGCGCCCGGGAACGACGGTTGTTTTTCGAGGTTGGCTGTGGAGAAACGGCGGCAGGCGGCGTGGACGACGATTGGCGGGCGGATGTGGAGGGCGGGTCCAATGAGGGGCGCCTGTGGTGAGGCAGGCGTGGTGTCGTCGCTCCACGCGACGTGTGGGGCTAACTCCCGACCTCGTTGTCTCGGGAGCGGTCGCCAGGGCCTTTCCCGCCTCCACCCGGTGGTGGCTGCGGCATGTGGGGCGGCGAGCTCGGCGGGCGCGCCGTCGATTGGGGCATCATGTTTACTTCTCACCTGCTTTCCGCCGTCCCCACAGCCGTTCTCACGTTAGAGGGGAGCTGAGGCGGATGGTGGGAGGTCGGGGTTTGAACTGCGTGGTGGGCGGAATTGGGGCGGGGGCCTTTGCCAGGTGCGACTTCGCTTAGGTCGGAGTGGCCGAGTGGCGCGGCCGGGACGTGGCTGACCTGCCCCTCCGGCTGCGGGAACCCAGGTAGCCAGGGTTGGGCGTCGTCGGTGACAGAAGTCTGAAGGTGGAGAAAGACCCAGGTCTAAGGCGGGGACGCACCGCGAGATGTCCTCTGCTGGCACTGGGAAGAGCGAGTGGAAACGGGTCTCGAGTCTCTTTTGAAATAGAATCTGAACTCGGGCTTGAAGGACCTTTAAGATTTGGATGCGAAAAAGTGAGAGTAGGTGGAACCTTCTAGGTGCTCCGCGGGATGAGGAGTTAGATGGTGGGCCCCCCATCCCCTCCCTGAGGAGGTTTATGTGGATGATTTTTGCATATTTTGAAAGAAAAAAGTTCGTTAGATTAAGAAAAGTGGAATGTCAGAGTTTCAAAGTTGCCTTAGAGTTGTCTAGAAAATAAAGTTTTTGCTCACCCATAATCTAATGTTGTCTCATAACTTCCTACTCTGGGCTCATGATTCAAATTACTTTTTAATTTTATTTTTGCTTAAATTTTCATCTCAGTTTATGTATTAGGATATGTACCCTCTAGCTAAAAATGAGAACAGAACAGCCTTTTGCATTCTGTTTACCTTTGTTGTGGGGCAAGAAAAATGAACACCAAATGTATTTTTCTATAGGTAATAACCAGAATGTACAGTAGGTAGATTACCCAAAATTGAAAGAGAAAGTCCACTGCACTGATTTGAGTGTCCCCTCCAAAATTCATGTTGAAACTTAATCCCCAAGGTAGCAGTAATAAGAAGGTGGGAATCCAACCCTGGTATTTGAAAGGTGGAGCTTTTAAGAGGTGATTGTATCATGAGAACGCTGTCCTCATGAATGGATTAGTCCATACATGGGCTACTGGGTTAATGGACTTATGGATTACAGTGGAAGTGCTACCAGTGGCTTGTTTTAAGAGGAGAAAGAGATCTGACTCTGCAATTAGCATGCTCTTGTTCTCTCACTGTATGATGCCCTGTGCTGCCCTGGGATACTGCAGAGTTCCGACCAAGAAGGACCTCACCAGATGGCACCCTTCACCGTGGACTGCCTAGCCTCCAAAACTGTAAGAAATAAATTTTATTCCTTTATAAACTATCCAGTTTCAAGTATTCTGTTATAAGCAGCAAAAGACAAGCTAAGATATTCACCAAAGGTCTAATATGTGCAGAATACAAAAAGATCAAAGTCCCTGACTGTAAAGGTTCTAGTTTGCAAAGATTTTATAATGCTTCAGACTCATTCTAAGTTGTCTTCGTCATTATTTCTGTGTAACCTGTCCAGCTTCCTAAGTTAACTTTGATCAATATTAACATACATGGTCAGTCCAAAGGGAAATAGGCTGTTCTTCAGTAACACTAATCTGCAATTTCATGAGCAATATCAATATTATCATCTGGATTTTGGCTTCCTTAAATAAAGCTAGAAGATTAGGAATTAGAAAACCAAGACTTCTATGGCCTATGCTTTCTTTCATTCCCATACAGCCAATAAATCACCATGTCTTCATTTTCTTAAACACTTTTCTTTCTGCATCCGTTTCTTCTGTTTTCAAGCACTAGCTTCATTTGAACAATTCCTGTAGTTTCTTTTCTGGTCATTCATTAGCTTTCCTTTTTATAACCTCCACATCATCTTCTGCACTGCCCTCTTCTGTTGATTGATGCTCCTAAGTGAATCACTATGCCCTCTACTCCTTAGCATGTCCTACAAAGCCCTCTGTACTCTGACCTTTGCCTGCTTCCTGTCTCCTACTTTTGCACATGCTCCCCCCTCTACCTAGAATGCCATTTCTTTTCAGTAGCAAGGAAAATTTTATCATTCAAAACCATGCTGACCTCCACTCTGCTATAGAATTAAACTAATTCCTCTGTGGGACACTTTAGGTACTATAATTCTCTTGTGGTCTCAGACTTTGCCAGTTTACATATTTGTATTCCCTACTATCTGCAAGCTTGCTGACATTAGTAATTATTTCGTGCCTGGTAGAGGTGTTGAGTACAGATTCTCTGTATGGAATTGATAGGTTAGTGAGGGTTAGCTGACAGCTTTGTCACAAACTAAGAGGAGCAGAAAACGGCAAAAGTAGTAAATCAAATTTTATGGGTTTTTTTTTTTTTTTTTAAGCCAGGGTGGTTATGGTTCAGAGCTGACCTCAACCTTAGGATGATAAATTGCTCTTGTTATGAATTACAAATGGCTTTTTTTTCTGCTTTATTTTTCCCCTGAAATAAATCATAAAATATGTGCTGGCAACTTCCCAACAATATCATGAGGATAAATTATGAAATTTTTTGGCTCACCTGTTTTAAAAAGTTTTTTTAGTCTTTTTAAAGAGAGTGGAGTTGGTTGATGTTATTCATAGCCTGTGACTCCCACCCTTAGAACAGCAACAGCTACATTGCTTGGGGCCTGTAGTAGATTGAATTATGTCCCCGCAAAACTCCCTGAAGCTTGAATTGTGTCCCCCAAGTTTTATGTATTAGAAACTTAGCCTACACAGTGACTGTTAAGAGGGTGGGAAATCCTATCATGGTAATTGAAAGGTGGAGTCTTAAAGGGGTGATTGGATTGTAGGATGGTGCAGTAGTGAATGGATTAAAAATGGTACAGGTGCGTGGTTCTGAGGGCTTTAAAAGAAGAGGACAGTCTGTCTCTGTCTCTCCCTGCTCTCTCTGCTTCCACCATCTTGCATTGTGAGACCCCTGCGTCACTGTTACCACCATCAGATGGACTTTGGACTTTACAGCCTCAGAAACGTAAGCAATAAATTTTGTTTTTGTTTATACATCACCCAGTTTCAGGTTTTCTGTTATAGCAACAGGAACGGACTAGTACAGGGCCTCTTGCACATTGGTGTCTCCCCATTTGGTTTGTCTGATGGAGGTAGTGGCCAAGGAGGGGACTGTAACTGTCACTCCTGGTATATGTTTTGGTGCTGCAAATCCTGAAAAGTAAGGAGTAATTTGCTGCTGTGGTCAGATTAGGAAATTCCTTTGGAGTGAGCCTAGCTACAGCTGGATGTCTAAATACTCAGGTGTAGTCAAACCAGATCACCATAGTTTTCTTCACATATTCCTATGCCTCTTTATATTTGGGAATCTCAAGGGCTATAGATCAGATCATAATGGTCCCATCTATGCACTGATCAAGATAACCTTTAATGGTGCTATATGTTGTCATCTGTGCTCCCTTGGCAACTGTTCTGATTTGTTCCACGAGTCCCTTAGTGGAAGACTTACACTGAGTGTTGATGATGTGGAAGAGGAGAGGGCTGTCCGTGGTTGTGAGTTAATCCAGTCGATTGTTGCACCTGAGGGATACCCGACTGGAACGTTTCCTGTCTCCTTGTGCTCTTGGTGGCCAGCTGAGACCATGAAGGGTTTAAATCATTTTTGAACTTGTTCAGTATTTGCTCTTAGCTTGATGATCCTACTACTACTCCTATCATAATGTCACATATGACCTTGTACATTGAGGCAGTTTTGGTGATAGTAAAATAGACATTTGTATCTGTTAGATCTGCACAGAAAAGTGCCGTCATTGCACCTATTTTAGGAACACTGCCTTTGAATATCTGGATCCCCATTCTTTCAGGAACATCAACCACTCTCAGGGCCGCGTGTAGACCCCTATATATAAATCAGAAGAAGAGAAAGCCTGGTGTTACATGATTGAATCTGCCCTTCCAATATGCTCACAACATAGATTTCACATTCCCCCTGAGATCTTCAGTGGTGCCTATTCTGGGACTCAGTTTCCCCAGGACTTGGGAATGGTTCAACTTCTCCTGTGCTTCAGGAGAAAGTACCAGACCCATCCATTATGATATCTTCTGTACCATCTCTGAAGGCACACTGACCATTGGGAGTTTTCATGGTGGTTTCTTTCAAACAGTTTATTGATATGTAGAAATTCAATATGCTCTTTAAGAGCATATTTCAAATCTGTTTTCAGGATACGAGCCAATGCATATTTTAAAGGTACATTTTAGAAATAAGTGACTTTAGGATATTAATTTTCTTGAGCCCATGTATTTAGTAATGCTACAATTTAGATATTTTGACTATCTTAAGTAGAGTCAGTTTTTACTCTATGAAAATATAGTATATACCCTGCCTTTTACCCAGGTGTATATTTTCCAGTAAGGTGGTTATAGGAACTTAACTTTCCTCTCAGCTAGAACAACTTGGATTGTACTTCCTCTCCTCCCTTTCCTCTTTCTGGTCCTTGCAGGTCCCACAGTTGCCAGGAATTCTTTCTCACCTTGCCTCAGTGGTTGGCCTGCAATTAAGGAAGGAGTAAGGAAGAAAGTTTAACCCTCCTACCCTTTTCCCCCAACTTCATTTATAGCCACTCTCCACCTCCGCCTCATTTATAATATCTGGTTAGCAACATTGTTGAACTCTATACAGTTTTCAATACAACCTTTCAGAGGAAATATAGAAATGTTACAGAGGTTCCTGAACTATTCCTGAATATGTGCCCACATCCATGATTATTGCCTATGTAGTACTTTCTTATCCTAAAGCTGTTATGCAGTAAAGGGTTAACTCAGGATGTCTGGGAGGTTCAAATCCTGCATCTTCCAAATAAACTGGCTCTTGACCAGCTCCTGGGAAAGAACCTCTCACTCACTAGAATATCCTGCCTGATAACAGTGTCTTTGTATACCTAGGAGCCTTGGGCCCAACAAGCTAGTTTATATCAACAAGATGATTTATGATGAAGGCTCACACTTGAGCCATACTGTATCAGTTTGACCTCTGGTGGGGCTGAAGAGTGAGTAAATAAGGTCAGCACATGGGTGCTCTATGCCTATGTGACTGACCCCAATAAAAATCTTGGACACCAAGACTCAGGTGAGCTTCCCTGGTTGGCAGTACTGTGTACATGTTGTCACACATTGCTGGAAGAACAAAGTGCTGTACATGCAGTTCTACCAGGAGAGGACAACTGGAAGCTTGCACCTGGTCTCTCCTGGATTTTGCCCTATGGGCCTTTGCTTTGCTAATTTTAATCTGTATCTTTTCACTATAGTAAACCACAACCATGAGTTAACTTCTTTTCTGTGTTCTATGAGTCCTTCTAGCAAGTCATTGAAGCTGAGGGTGGTCCTGGGGACCCCGAACACAGCTGTAATCAGTATATGTCAAGAATTGTACATTCTTCTATTAGTAACAGCAGTTAATTCTCAGTGGAAGAGTAGTAGAATTTTATTGGGGGACAGTGTGTATGGCTTTAAGAAAGAAACCCACACTATTCTTACATGCTTTCCTTGCTTCCCTATCTCTCCCCACCATCACTACCTTAGAATCTTAGTAAATACAGAAATTTAAAAATAAAAGTTAGGGGGAAAGTTTTTTTTGTTTGTTTACTTGGTTGGTTTTTTTTTTTTTTTAATACAAAGGTAGGTATTAAGGGTGAGATAGGTAGGAATCACATAACCTTGTCTAATTGTTAACTGTTTGTGCCTTATAACGGGTTCTTAAACACTTTGGTTTCAGGATTCCTTTATACCTTTAAATTATTGCATACTGCAGAGAGCTTTTGTTTATATGGGTTTTATTTTCTTAATTAAAAAAAGAGATCAACAACCTTGTTTTTTGGGGTGTCTAACATAATGTACACTAATGTGAATGAATACAGTAAAGAGTGTATTGAAAAGGTAACCAGCATGTGTAACATAGTATTTATTATCTACGGAAAAAATCCACTCCAGCTTCAGAACACCAGGCTTAAAATGAACTTTCTATGGTATTGTTTTATTCTGCTTTCTTGTGAACTTGGCAGTAGTAGTTTGGATTGTTTATCTAAAGTCTTAAAGAAAGGTCTAGGTGAACTAACTCTTTTTTTGGTAAATTAATAATGAAGGAAAGTAGCATCCAATCTAAATCAACTGTAGGATTTTGTCATTATTTTTGTTATGCTTTGTGGCACTTGCACATTCTAAAAAAGTAATCCATCAAAATTCTACATAATATGCTGACAATTTGTTTTGAATATTGTACATTTCCTTCAGAAATTACCCATCTTTATGCAGAATTATAGAATTTTGAGGTATGTTTATGATTGTCCCTTCAGGGATATGTTATACTATCAGATTTCAGGTTAAGGGAAAGCTACAGAGTACTTTCTACCAGTTTGAACTTTGGTAGCTGTGCTTTTATATACAACATAATATGAATAACTAAGTGTAAATTTGTAATTATATTTTTCTCGATACACTATGAACATTTTACTTTTCTCACTTTCTCTCTTCAAATAAATCATAAGGGTTTATAAGAGCAGAAGCTGTCTTTACTTATATCTGAATCCCCAGCATTTAATTGTCTGGTACACAAATATCATGTGAACAATGAATGAATAACTTTCACAGTGTTAAAGTACAAGGCCCACTTATTAAACTATTGTGTTTGTTTTACACATCTTTATAATTTAAACATAAAACACAGTGTTAGGAAGTAAGGGCACAGTGAGAAAGCTCATTGGAAATCTCTAGGAATTGCTTTCTTTCAAAGTTGTGTTGGAAGCTTAAGAAACTAAGGAATTGAAACCTAATTCACCATTGTTTCTAAATAGCAGAGGTAAAATTAAGATCCTCCCTTAGCAGAACTGCATCTTGTACCTTTGCTTTTTCGTCACACACTTTGGTAGTTCTTAGGGTTAGTGAGATTGATGATTATTCTGGGTCTAAGTACCCACTTTGAGCAGATTAGGTAATTTACTTGCTTTCAACCTCACAAAACGAAGAGTAGATTGGTCTTTGGAAAATCAGAAAAACACTACATATTGTCAAGTTAGTTCAAGATCTGGTAATGTTTTGAGTATCTGGCTCACATTTTAGGATACCTTTGTTTTTTTAAAACTCAATAGGGAGATAAGACTGGTGATGTGAAGATGATTCAACTGCAAATGACATTGATGGTGAGTACAAAAGGAAGCCAGTAAGCTTATACATTTTACATTGGCCTAAACTTTGTAGGAGTTGTTGAAATGAGTATGTACAATTGAAGTGGGTGAGAGTATGAACAACATCTCATTGGAGAGTAAAGTAGGGAAGTTCATTTTCACAGGCCCATGGGTGGCTGGCAGCTGAGGGGACAAGCATATACTAAATGTCTACTAGGCTACCGTGTAACATATGTCTTAGTCGATCTCAGCAACTAGAAATGAGATTTTTGCAGAGGTTTTAAACAATGCAACGGTGGCAAAGCCATGTGTGAGCTAAGGTGAAGCATTTCAAAGATGAAAATCTGTGACTAGAAAGAAGTTTCAGAATGCTTAGCTCTCTAGGAGTTAGTAAAGAAGGGTCAAGCAGCTTCACTCCAAGTTCAAAGCAGAGTGACTGTTCCAGCATGAAGGGTTACTGATCAACTTCCTCCTTTTCTGAAGATCAGAAGGGACATAATAATGACATCTGAGGCTGCACTTACTCAGTGACAGTGCCCATGTTACTTGATCAATCTAATGTAATAGTGATTTAAATCAAGTTTAACAACAAATCCTAAGCAGGAATGACCAGTGCCACTTCAGGTTATGTGTTTGTATGTCATGATGTCACATGTGAATATGTCAGTTCTTCCCAAATTGATCTATGGAGTCAACACAGTCCGCCCCAAATCTAAGCAAGTTGTTTTGTGGATATCAACAAACTGATTCTGAAGTTTATGTATAGAGGGAAAAGATCCAGAATAGCCAAGAAAATATTGAAAGATAAGAACAAAGTTGAAAGACTGATACTACCCTACTTCAAAACTTACTATAAAGCTACAGTAATCAAAACAGTATGATATTGGCAAAAGAATTGGCAAATAGGTCAATAAACAAATAGAGAGCCCAGAAATAAACCCACACAAATATAGTCAACTAGCCTATGACAAAGGAACAAAGGCAATGCAATGGAGAAAAGATAGTCTTTTCAACAAATGGTGCTGCAACAACTGGACATCTACATGCAAAAGAAAAAATGTAGACACAGACTTTACATCCTTCACAAAAATTAAAATGGATCACAGACCTAAACGTAAAACTCAAAACTATAAAACTCCTACAAAATAACATGAGAGAAAATCTAAAAGACCAGCCTTGGTGATGATGTTTTAGATATAACACCAAAGGAATGATCCATGAAAGAAGTAATTGATAAGCTGGACTTCATTAAAATGTAAAGGGGCTGGTTAGCTCACTCAGTAGAGCATGGTGCTGATAACACTAAGATCAAGGGTTTGGATCCCCATACCAGCCAGCTGCAAAAAAATAAAGTAAAATAAAAATTAAAACTTATACTCAGCAAAAGACACTATCAGGAGAATACAAAAACTACAGACTAGGAGAAAATTACTTGCCAAAGACATCTGAAAATATTTAGGGAGAG